CCGCCTGAGGCTGTTCCATTGGCGTTATGGGCAGACTCTCCCTGAACGATTCCGAGGATCATTCGGATTGGCAGCAAAATGCTGCACGCCTTCATTCAAGTGATCGCAAGCCGTCCAAACCGCACCTTGTCAAGCTATGTACAGGATCCAACAGCAGCCTGTCAATCAGTTGCGCCTTGGCACAATTGACTGACTATGTACATGGCATCCAATGTGCCTCATGAGAATTATAAAGCAAGATTCAAGCGCACGGCACGGCATCAAAAGGAGTTTTGGCACACTCTTTCAAGGTTTGCAAACCCTGCATGCACGGTAGCCTTTGTCGATAGCACGCCGCCGACTGATCTCAGTCACACCTGCACTCTGATTAAGCTTTCCGCACGTGGCCTTATGGAATGCATAACCTTGGCTAGTCGACACCCGAACACCATCTGCATTCTGCTGCGGCGGATTCCTTCGCTGAGGAATCGGCCTTGCATTTGGGATGTCATGGTCATTGGCTGACCGTTCTGTCTGCTCACTCCCGGATCGGCTCACACTCACACGCACATCTCGAGCTGCGTCAAGCGGCATGCGCACATGCAAGTCATTGGATTACCCGGGGCGACCATCAGTGCTGTGCGCTTCATGCGCACCTGGGCTCTGGGTCCTCTCATCCTCACTTTTCACATTCGGTCGTGACTTTGCCCTTGGCCTTGCACCACGCACTGGGGTCGGTGGTGCAACCTCAGCGGTACCTGGCCCACATGTGATTTTTTTTTACAAGCGCGGGTCCGTGAAGGTCCCGTCTGCACCGACCGTTTCAGGTGCGCTTGTGTGGTTTACGGCTGGGCTTATGAACTACACATACCCAAAATGCTCTATTTCTGGCAACACTCGAGACCTGGCGGTACAACGGAGTATTGTCCATCCATACCATAGAATGAGAGGAGTGTTCCTGACGGATGTCGGCTGCTGTCGGAATTGCAAAGAAGCTATGATCAAGCGAAGAATGTGGCGGAGCTGCATCAGACTGTAAATGTGTGATGCGACGTGAGGCCTCGACTAGACATGATTCTGCCCAATGAATTTTGGGTCGACCTGCCCTATTAGGTCCTCTTGTATGGCGATATGCTGCTGACGGCATAAAGGTGGCCTGAAATTCCAACGAGTCTGGATGTCGATAGAGGTGACCGAGGAGGTTAAGGCGAGCTTGGGAATATTGTTGAGAAGGAGCAATAACGCGTCTAGAGGAAAAAGCTAGTTCTGCAAGGTACTGGTTTGAGCATGGGGCAGCAGAGGGATTTATAACCCTGTGCTAGTATGAGGATTTGATCTTGAAGATCCTCCGCAACCACTTGTAGTGGACTGAATCCAACTTAGTGAGTTGTGCCGGAGTGAGAAGGAGGCTGTCCATCGCATACATCATAATAGACTGGATAACCGAACGGTACACCAAGAGCTTCCAGTTGGGAGGAAGTTGTCCATGTTTCATAAGTGGGGCAAGCATTTTGGAAGCTTCCATAGCCCTAGAGATACGAGTTGAGACGTTTTTGTGATTAGCGGGTCTGGGATCCACGTAAACTCCAAGGTACTTGACTGCATCAGAGAGTGGGACCTTTAGGTCATCTACCGAAGAAAGGAGATATTTTGGGTCAAATAGGATACGATGGGAGGAGTTAACGGACAAGTGCTCCCACTTGTCGTAATTGAGATAAAGCCCGCGGCGGGCGCCCTCTTTCTGAACTAGGTGGAGAAAAAGCTGGCCTTGGGAAAAGGAATTTGAAAGGAGCACCGTATCATCTGCATACTCCAAGTCCCACAAAGTGAAGCCCAGGCGTAAAACACCTGAGATGGCACCATGTTCCGTCGTGTACTGGCGCTCAACGTCTTCAAAGAGATGGGTAAGCACGAACCCAAATCAGTAAGGGGACAGGGGGCATCCTTGGCGAAGTCCTCGGGTTTGAGTATACTTCTCGGAGCGTTGGTTACTGTCACGAACCGAAAAAGTGGGTCGTTGTATAGGGAGGAAATAGCCTTCCGAAAGGGGGGGGACCCCCATATATTGTAATGAAGCCTGAATAGCGGGGAAGGTAACATCTAGAAAAATAGCGTGGAAGGCCTCGGTTTGGCGCTCGTGGACTTCTAAGAGACGGCGTAAGATATGAATAGGCTGGGTAACCGAGCGCCCAGAGCGGAACCCAAACTGGGTATGGCGTACCCTGTGGTCAAAATGTACTGCCAAACGCTTCTGAAGGAGCGAAGCATAAATCTTATACATGGTATTGGAGAGCGAGATTGGTCTATAGTTGGACAGGAGCTTGGTATCTTGTTGATAATTCTTGACTAGCGACTAGCATAACCACCTCTGAATGGAGCCAACTTGCTGGGGCTTCTCCAGTTGCGAAGCAGTGGTTATAGTGGTCCAGTAAATAGAGCCGGAAGATAAAAGGTGCATTTTGAATAAGCTCGGTAGGAACGCCGTCAGGACCCGGAGCTTTACGCTTTCCGAGCGCACGGAGGACTATATTAAGTTCCTCCATATTAAATGGGCGAGAGGACTCTGGAATTTCCGAGAAAGAGGAAGCTTGCTGGAATGTTTCCGGAGCGGGAGCCTTCCAAACTTGGTTGGCGAGGTAATCCGCGAACGATTCTGCCCGGCCAGACTTTGAGACCAATTTGCCGTTAAGGTCGATGAGGTTGGTAGGGGAAGGGCGAAAATCCTTTCGCATGGAGCGCGCAGTGCGCCACTGCTGTATGGCAGAGCCGTGAAAATCCTCCTGTAAGTTTGCCAAGATAAATTGTTTTTTGTCGCGCCTGGCGAGTTTCTTAATGCGATTGCGATGTCGCTTGACCTCTTCTTCGGTGAGATCAGTCTTTTCCTGAAAGGAGGATATCACTTCAAGAGTAGAAGAGGAGATCCAAGGCTTCTTCGGAGAGACAGGAAGAGCAGGGATAAGAGGGGTATGCTTCTGAATGAGTTCAAGGAGGAACTTGTTCTGGGCGTCAGGAGTAAGAGAAAACCACGCCTCAGAGGAGTAACCAATATCCGGAGGAGAAAGTGCCGCCGTGCGAGCACCAGCGAATCTCCCTAGGGATCCGTATTCGGCGACACCCTTTTTTGCAAGGGAGTTGGCGATTTCATTGCCAATGACACCGGAGTGACCTGTAACTTTGGCGAGAGTGACGTAATGAAGAGTGCGCAGGGCGGTAAAATACCTCTGCGCCAAGGTGACCAGTTGTTGGTGGGTGTTTGGGAGGGAGTCGCCCAATATAACTCGCATGGCGTATTCAGAATCAGTAAAGATGGTAATATCCGATAAAGGAGGAAGGTTAGAATAGTACAAAAGGTAATCGAAAAGCTCAATTAGAGCCTTGAGCTCGCCAGTATTATTGGAGCCCCATATCTCGGGCAATACATGCGTATCCGTAGGTGTGGTTTTAACCGGGCCAAAGGAGAAATCCCATTCGGTGTCCTGAGTGGCTTCCTCTTTTACCAGGGAACTCTGCGGGGTTATCAGGAGAGACAATCCGGTTATTTGGGCAGGAACCATCAGTATAGGCGGTAACATAAATCTGTGGAGGTGAAGACGGGTGCTCTGGGTCGGGGAGCTGATTATCAGTGGAAGAAAGGAGGTCAGCCTCCAGAGCCTTGTAGAAACCTTGGGTCTGTGAGTAATCTAATTTAATTGTCTGGTCAGGTTTTGTGCGCTCCGGATATCGGCAAGAGAGGGTACCATAGGAAGGGAGATGACGGGTATTAATGAGCTGCTGGAAAATAGAACCGCGGAAGCTAAAAGAAGTAGTTAGGGAGGTAGTGAGCAGAGTGTGATCCAATGCCGCCCAGTCTTCGACTCGGGGGTCGGATAAAAGAGGGTCTGCGCACATCATTTCCTTATACGTAACTTGTTTAGCACGCGGCAGTTCCTGCTGCGCAGGGGAATGGAGAAGTGAGTGTGCGTCCATAAATTCTGCAAGATACTCGGCGTTATCCCGGTCGGGATCTTCCAGTGCCTGTCGTCTGCCCCAAACATGTGGGCCAAGGCCCGGGACATCTTTCGCCATAGAGGCGGAGAGCCGAGCGCTGAAGTCGCCAAGTACAATAAGATGATCCGAGCTAGAGTGGGAGGAGATTACTTGATCAAGCTCGGTCCAAAAGTCCTGCTTTCGTCTTAGATCCTCCGCAGAATCCTCCACCTGACTGGGAGCATAGACGCATATAACAGCAATAGGGTGGGGAATGATGTGAATGGTGACCTCATAAAAGCGGGGGCCATGGGCCAAAAAATTGGAGACTTGGGGCCTTAGAAAAGGGGAGACGAAAAAAACCCACGCCGTGGTGCTTGCCGGCGGGCGTGCTGGAATGCAGAATTTCCCAGCCTGCTTTGCAAAAGCTGTGGCTGGAGTCCACTTTAGTTTCCTGTACAGCCAACAAATGAAAGCTGTGTTGCTTAGCAAAATGGAGAATCTGATCGTATTTGGCTACCTCTTTGAGACCCTCGACATTCCAGGTGGCGATATTGAGCCTAGTGCGAGGCTTAAGAGAAAAAGGAGAGGAGTGGTGATGGTATCGCCAGTTCGTGGGTGTACTTTGGGTTTTTCGGGCTTTGGTCTGGAGATGGCGATAATCGGTCGGTCGTGGACTATACGGGGGTACAGGGATTGGTCACCGGTCCACCGTGAGTCCGCAGGGTGGTCCCCTTGCTGGCGGTTTTCCAGGCTCTATAATCCTGTCTGCGCAACCTTTTGTTGTGAGTCCATGATAGAAATCGGCGAGCTCTGGCCTGTGAGGATCGCTGACCTCTAAAGGTTCCCCCGATGGTGACGCGGTTTTGGTAGCCGCTTGGAACTAGATGTCGGTGGGACTGCTCTGGGGTTTTCTTTTCTCCACCGATCTGTATCTGTTGACCCGAGAACATATTCCCGGCAACCAATTGTGAATCGGACCTTTGGTAAATGACACCATTGGTAAATTGTGATCCGTCCTGCTGCGTCACCTGATCAGAATTGAGATCCGTGGATGGGTTCCACGAGAAGTCTGGCTGATGCTCAACGTCAGCCGAGCCAGACACTGGAGGCGATTTGTCTGTTTGAACCCCTAATGTCTTCCAGAGCTTTCTATGCTTATTCTGGTTCCAGCAGCTTCCCGGCTCGCCTCCCTTGGAGGCAACCGCTCGACTAAGCAGCCCAAATAGCTTCGGAGATTCGCCCCTGGAGAATTCAATTTCTCTAGTAGTACCTCTTATTTCCTGTTCCACAAACACATGGACGATATCATGAATATTCCTCTTCACGTCACTCCAATATATTTCAGAGAACGTAATAAGAAAAAGATCGCAGTCACTCGCTCAGCAGCCTTCGTTTTGCTATGATGATATTGCGCGATGCCGTGGGGTCGAAACGATAAAAGTTTGATATCTCCATCGGCCCCAAGGTCAAGCATCCAATGCGAGACACATGTGTCGATGAGATAAGTCGAGAGCTTGCGCACCCGATCATACCCCGGGCGGGCGGGTGGGTAAAAAGAATTTTCTTGCCCACTTGAGCAAGAAACCTTGCATTCGGATCGTCATTCAAATGCCCATGTTTCTCAATGCTCATGCGTGAAAGTAAAAGAGCAAATCGTGAAAAGACGGAAATCTCATGAAAATCACCATGTTCAACCTTGCCGTAACACGACAACGGTTGTTGTGAAAAAGGAAATAAAGTGATAATCACAAGTGATGAAGTCACTTATTTCCTGTTCCACAAACACATGGACGATATCATGAATATTCCTCTTCACGTCACTCCAATATATTTCAGAGAACGTAATAAGAAAAAGATCGCAGTCACTCGCTCAGCAGCCTTCGTTTTGCTATGATGATATTGCGCGATGCCGTGGGGTCGAAACGATAAAAGTTTGATATCTCCATCGGCCCCAAGGTCAAGCATCCAATGCGAGACACATGTGTCGATGAGATAAGTCGAGAGCTTGCGCACCCGATCATACCCCCAGCACCGTGCGCAAATGTAGCCGTTCCTTCAAACAAGCAGCCTCTCACCACTAGTCTGCATCCGCTGAGCGCCTTGATTCAAGAGCCTTTTGCAGCAGTCGCGGCTTGGCTCGTCCGCTGGATTCGAATGTGTCGGGACTCGCCCGAACCATGGCCTTGCCCGCCACCTGTGTTCAGCATCCAGGAAACGTTGGACCAGCTTCCTTCCATGATCCGTGCCCGAACGGCCCGCAATGAGTGCTGACTGAGCGGCTTCATTATCAAGGTAAAAAACGGAAAAGGAATCTTCTAATAAGGGTCCCCAAAGCTCAACTGCAACCAACGCGGCATACAGTTCCACCTCATATATCGGGTGATCAGAAGTTTCCTCAAGAGCCCGCAGATCGTCCTCATTCACCTGTGCAGAGAAGAACGACAACGGCGTGCCAGCGCTGTCATAGAGAACGCCACCGATGCCGGCTCGCTTCTCGGCTGTGGGCTCATACGAGCCATCTGTAAAAACATAAAGTTCACGTCCTGTCGTTTGCCTCAGCTCCAGTGGCCTGGAATCCACCACGTAGCGGAGCAAAGTTCGAATCGCCTCAGTCAAGTCGTCAGTGAGCCTTGTGCACGAGTCCATACATTGTGCCCTCAAGGATATTTGTCTCATCGCCTCACACGGCGCACGACCGAAAAGATACGAAGTAAACCAGTGCATCCTTCCCCTCAAAACTTCCGCATCCTTAGGTCGAAGTGCAGCATCACGTAAGATTCCTTCAAGAGTTTCCACCAGCTCCGCAGTACGTGCTTCCGTATGCCGAATGATGACCACCCCCTCATTGAATCTCGTCAAGTCATACTGCAATCCCAGGGCGGCAAAGGTGTAATCGAAGTCAGTGGCCTTCTTACCCTCCTTTGCGTATTGGATCCCCAGTGCGTCGAACACTTCACCAGCCAATCCTCCAACCTGGTCTTCATGACCTTCAAGAGCCATCAAAGGAAAATCATCAAAGTAGGCGCACCATCCCAGGCCAAGGTCCTGGATGCCCGTATGCCAAATCGCCGCCGAAACTCGCAGGAAGCCCGCCACACTTCCGGTGGCACCGAAAGGAAGAACGTTGGTTCCATAAATCCTGACCATGCCAGAGTCGGTGTCGTAAACCCCGATCCTCAAGTGACGCCTGTCTTGAGGGTGGATTGGATAGAATTTGTACGCAGAGACAAGATCGATGGTTTTCCCTTTGATCCTTTTGCCGGCAGCTTCAGGGCGGTTGAGCAACTCAATGAAAACCCCAGCAAGTACGTCCACTCCATGCAAGGTGAACTTCTCTGGTAGCCCACACGCCAAGTTGAGGCCACACTCCTTGCCATTGTCGATCACGCGAACTTTGTCCTTCTGTTGCAAGCCGAAACGATGGGCCAAGACTATGTCATCAAGATTTGCACTTTCATCCCGAAAGATCCATCCCTTCTTCTCTTCCTCCACTGTTTCAGCCCACGCCTTGCGTGCCGTGATGTCAACAACAGTCTTCTGTAGCCTTTTCAAGGTCAACGGTGTCTGGTACTGGGATTGACTTAGCAGGTGCTCCAGCGATGTTTGTGGGGGACGGACTTTCTTGTCGAAGATTCCAGTGTCCCGCATCCAGCCAGTCAGCCTAAGTCCATCACGCAGGTCGGACCAGAGTTGTTGGTCCGGGAAGCCATTGTCACCAAGAATACTTTTCCAGGCCAAAAGGTTCTTATCCCCTAACGCAGTCACAATGTAGTCCGGCTTGTGCTTCAACATGTTGTGATTCAAAGGCTTCGTCGTGGCTGCAATCTGACTCCAACGATCCTTGGTTCTTGAGGCAAGCCGCTCTCTCCGTTCGAAATCCATTAGGATGGCATCTGCAACTTTGGAGGAAGGTCCTTCCCGGCTCGCGTTCCAAGCGTTCCTAGGATGTCCAGCTTTTACGGCATCCGCCACAAAGTCGCAAGGTTCTTTGGGTATTCCAACAGAAACAATCTCCGCATGCTCGGAGCACGGATCGTCCGCAGCAACGAAACCTGTTATCGCAACTGTCTCGTCATGCTTGAGGTGGTCCTCCTCAATACAATCAGCGATCTTCACCCGTTGGGGGTATTTGGAATGCAACGACGACAGGTCGATGCCTGTGCATTTGGAAGGCACGCAAACCCGCACCATACCCCAGGATACCAGTTTGCGTTGAATAATGCGCGCTCCCTTTGGGTAGCAAGCCAGCAGCGTGGAGGTGAGGTCATCGGATCGAACAGGGATGGCCCAGTCATCACTTCCAGAGTAGCAGGCAACCAATGGTCGTGCAAAGCGAGGCTGTCGCTGCAAGTATACCTGGGAAAAAGGGCGCGGGTCGGGCGCCGCAAGCGCCAGTCCCCCAGCACGTGCGGCAATGATGTGGGCCATTCGTTCACAAAGCAGCACTGGGTATGCTGCCTCATCAGCAGTCGGAAAAGAGGTAGCATGTGGCTGCAAACGAGGTTTCCAAGAAGCATGCTGGTGGTCGCGTGAACATCGGAGAGCGAGAGGCTGAAACCAATCGGCAGAACACCACAACAGAGTGGTTTTGTCACGTGTGCCACCATGCATGCAGGCATCATAGACCACGGTGTGATGTGGTGAGCGGAACAGCTCGTCCAGGCCATCGCACAACCAAGCCAAAGAGTTGCGTGGGTTTTCCACGGTGACAAAGATGTTGAATTGTCGAGCCAGGTCAGCAATTTGCCCGACGGCACGGTAGAGCATATTGGCCTTCTGAACTCGTTCAAGATCGGCGCCAGTCAAAGTGGAGAGTCCTTGGGGTTCGGAGGTGCTGCGCAAAGGTTGCGGCACCCGAACACCAGCAGCAGTCAATTCTGGAATGGGTCTCGAGCGCGCCGCAGACGCAGTGCCACATGGTGGCGCACAATGGATCCAGACAATATTGGCCGCCTCGAGACGGATGATATCCAGAAGAATGCAAAGGTCGTCAGCATCGGTGAGGTCAAGGCGTTGTATGGGGAAGCGTCCACGTGCGGTGGATTTGTCAATTGCAAGCGTTCTGAAACCCAGCCGCTGACAGGCAGTGCTGAGCCGAGCCGTGCCGGCAAAGACCTCAATAACCAGCGGTGTGGCCCGTTGCGGAAAGGCCTCCTGCAAGCCAGTATGCGTGGAAGCAGATGCACTGGTTGATGGTCCGGCGTCAGGCGAACCGAGAGGTTTTAGGGAGGGGGAGGTGGCGGGTTTAGGGCCAACTAGGGGTCGGTAGGCAACCTTGGGCCGCTTGTGCGGTGGCACGGGAAGCACAGCGTCTGAGGCCGATCCGGACTCAACTTGAGGCAGGAGGAAACGAGCATCAAGAAGTCGAACACGATGTGCCTCGGACAGGAGGCCAGTGTCACGAATGCAGAATCCAACAAGCAACAAGCGAGTACCGTCCCAATCACAAGTTGCGTGCAGCCGCTCTGAAGGAAGCAACTGTGGGCCGTCCGCAACAGGCAGCAAGTAGCCCAGACGCGGCACGTCGGGGTCGGGGCACGGACACTCGCCTTTACCTTCAACCCAAATCTGGCCTTTGTGGAAAACTGATCAAATTTTGTGTTTGTACTCGTACCCTTTATTTTGATTGAACAGTTTGGTAGCTTTTGGACATGTAGCTTTGAGTGCATGGAATAACCATGTTACGACCGACGTTTACAGGCTCAGAGTTTGCGTGAAAGAGGATTGTTTTCATGGTAGCGGAGCACTGGCTGACCAGTGCTTCGGAAACACGCTTGTGGGTTTCCGTCACTTTAGGTGTCCAGGGGCCCAGGCTTTGAAATCCTCTTTGACTTTTCGTCTTCGGTGAAGTTAGGTAGGATCGCAATCCCGGCTCTTGACCGGACGAGCCATATCCTGCTTGAACAAGCCGAGTGGCAATCACGGCGGCGAGTGAAGCTTCTGCTGGAGCATTGCGAGAGCGGATCAGACAGCTCTATCTTGAACAGCTGTTGCAGCGGCCCTGCCCAGAAGGCCGCACGCGCGCAGGTTGGTGCAAGATTCTTCACGGGTTTCAGGAGGCTTTAGATACTAAGCTTGAGCGACTTCACACAATTTCTGAACTGCATTGTTTTGCCCTTAAGTGCTTAAAGGATCGCGATCTTCGAGAAGCTTACATTGGGTTTTGTGCAGCAGACACCGCAGAGTTTGCCATACCAGACGGTGTTGTTGAAAGTTGCGTGCACCCGACTGAAGAGCATTCTGCGTTTGACAGGGACCTAGAGCTGTTTGAGCAGACAAGTTCCTCTCGAGGTTTTCAGGAGTTGAAAGATTCGCCAGCAGAGCCGATTGAATTGCGTGAGCCTGAGCGTGGAGTGTTCCAGTGCCTGCAATTATCTTCTTCTGCTGTTATTGATTTAGAGCCCAATCAACCAAGTGCAAATTCATTGCAGAGTGGAAGCCGCAGTGTGATTGACCTTGACTGATTGTTGAAACAATGGCTGATTTAGATGATGATGATCTTGGTGGTGAGGGACCGACAGGGCCTCCAGCCTCAGGGAGTGGAGGACCATCAGTTGGACCGCAGCTTCCTCAGATGAGCACGAATCCGTTTTCGCCATCGGCAGGTGGTTCAGTGCCAAATCAGGTAGTACTTGATGTTGCTCAGTTTCAGCAGATCCTGCAGACAATGCAAGGCCAAAGTCAGGCTGTTCTTGCAGCGGCAGGTGTAGCGAGTGCAGCGTCCCCGAGCAGGAGTTCAGGGACACAGGGCTTTAGTGATGCAAACCGCATCTTGAATAGGCCCGCATGCTTTGGAAGCACTTCGCATGACAGTGACTTGGGGTCGTGGCTTGATTGGGCACATGCCTTTAAGGCTTGGCTTATCTTCGCCGACCCTCAGTATGAGATTGAGCTTCAGACAGTCGAGTCAAATCTTGATGTAGAGAACCCCACCATGCCAGCTGAAACTGCAGAGCGGTCGCGCCGCTTGTATGCGATACTTAGCAGTCTGCTGCAGCACAAGCCGAAGATGTTGTTGCGACAAGTGCCGAACCGCAACGGCTATGAGACTTGGCGGCAGCTGGTCAACATCTACGCACCGCGATCGAAAGTGCGAGGACTTGCACTGCTGAATGCCATCATGTCATTTCCCCCGTTTGTGAAAAGCAAAACGACCAGGGAGCAGGTTGACGGTTTGGATCGCCTTGCCCAGGAGTATGAAAGGGTCTCAGGAGTGGCTGTGAATCCAGATATTCTCCTCGGGACTTTACTTCGGGTTTTGCCGGCGCACTTGAGAAACCACATTCAGCTTCAGATGAAAAGTGACACCAGCTATGAGCAGGTCAAGCAGTTCATTCTGACATATGAAGTGACGACCAGCAATTGGTCGGCGTCCAAAGTGCAGCAAAGCTTAGGAATAGGCCCCTCGGGTGACCATAGTGCCAGTGATCCCGTACCCATGGATGTAGATAGGGTCGCTAAGGGGAAACCTAAAGGCGGCAAGGGCGATGGTCGTGGAAAGGGTGGAAAAGACAAAGGTGGAAAGGGCGGCAAGCCCAATGGCGGGAAACCGAATCCCGGTGGCGGTGGAGGCAAGTCTCAGAATGCCAACCAGCCGAAAGGCGGCAAAGGAAAGGGAGGCAAAGCACAGAAGGAGACGCGAAAGTGCCATCACTGCCATAAGGTTGGACATCTTGCCAAGGATTGTTGGCTGCTGCATGGCAAAGGCAAAGGCAAAGGCGTGCATCAGGTTGCAGAGGTAAACCCTTCAAGTGCAGCGAGCGAGGCACCCACCATCACGACATCAGGTGGAGCGGCCAGCACGAGTGGAACAGTGCGGCGAGTTCAGGTGTTTGACTTGAGTGCGCCCGCTGACTGGTTCATTGGAGGGCATGTTCGTGCTGTCACATGTGCGATGCAGTCAGCTCGGAATCCCAAGGCAGTTCAGAGCCCAGCAGGTCCCAGTGGCCAGGTTGCGATCGGCCAGGCGTGCAGCAGCGACATTTTGTCACCAGAATTTCTTGAGATTGTCCGAATGCTGGAAGGTTCATGTTTGAACAGTGCAGAGCCAGTGCGCGTTCTTGAGAGTAGCGATGCAGTCAGCTCGGAATCCCGAGGCAGTTCAGTCCCAGCAGGTCCATTTTATTTTGGTCAGAGCACAGTGCCACAGGTGTCCCAGGCTGCGCCAGCAGCAGATCAGAGCACAGTGCCACAGGTGTCCCAATTTGACATTTCGGCCGATGATGATTCAGGATCGTGGGAGCACGGAGTTTCTGTGCATGAGCTCAGCACTCTCAAGCGCTTGGAGCCCAACAAAGGCTTTGTGTATGCTGTTCAGACAATCCAAGAGTTGCCCTCAGCTGACGATGCCCTGGATGTGATTTTGGATTCAGGTGCAGACATGAGTTGCTTGCCTCTTGAGTAAGCACAACATGGTTTCGACCACGGTCCTCACAATTTGCAACTGCGTGATGCGCAAGGCGAGCCGCTTGCTGTGAACGACCTTCGTGAAGTTGAGTTTGTCGTTGAGAGCAGCACAGGGGAACATGTGGTGTGGCGAGAAGTTTGTGCGATCGCCCCAGTTACTCAGCCTCTCTTGTGCAAGGGCAAGCTCATGAAAGCAGGTTGGTGGCCCGTCAGACAGCCAGACATGGCTCTTGAGCATGACAGCGGTGTGAGGGTTCCGATTTCTTTCAAAGGAAATTCCTTGTGCGTTCGAGCAAGCATCTTCAGGGTTGGCCAAGAATCCTTGAGTCCAGCAGGGCATGTGATGTTTGTCCAAGCATCAGTTTGCAATGAAATGGCCGATGCGAATTTTGGATGGCAAATGTCAGGCACGGGAAACCTGTACTTTCGTGGCAGGAGCACTCACTACATTGATCCGTCGATCATTGCGCCAGTGGGGTGGCCCTGCAGAACCACTTTGGTCAAGCCGTGCACACCTGATCATAATGCCTGGATTTTGCTTGAGCATTGCGTGCACTGGGGTGAGTTGCGAGAGCTTGCGGCCATTTTACCGCACGGAGAAAGTGATGTAGTATGCATCCTCTCTTCGTCACGTGAAGAGTTGTCCGAGTTTGGAGTGGAACCTCACAGATCAACGCAAGGGCACATTGATTGGTCTGGCCCGCAACCTGGAGACCCAGATGCTGATGAGCTTGCAGATTACGAGCCTTCCGAAGCCGACATGCAGGACACTTCTGCTCCACAGTTGGTGGAGGCGATGCCAGGTGTGCCTCAGGTCCACAGGGATGTGGAGGTGTTGCCAGATGCCGAGGGCGTCACAGGCGAGGCGCCAGTGCCAGGAAGCAGCAGTGACATTCTTGTGTTTGAAGGCGTTGAGATTTCCCTGCAGAGCACATTGAGTGTGATTCGTACGGCATGCAAGTCGGCTGGGATATCCGTTTCAGGGAGCAAGCAGCGTTGCCTTGATCGCTTGAGGGGTTACCTTGACAAGCAGCAATTGGCCCTGAGTGCCGAAGTTGCTCAGACAGTCGGAGATGACAGTACGCGTGAGCCGAAAGGGCAGTCCGTCACCAAGGCCCCAACAGAAGCCGAGAGGCAGTTGCATGAGCTGACCCATTGGCCATTCCGGCCATGGTGCGATCACTGCATGGCCATGCGTGGTGTTGAGGACCGGCATGAATCACTGCCGGGGAGTGCCGACACTGAGGTCCCGATCATTAGCTTCGATTATGCCTTCACCAGTGTGTCAGGTGCCGAGGGCCAGGGCAATGCAGCTAAGTTGACCGTTCTGGTTGCACATGACACCAGCACCGGCAGTGTGCTAGGGCTTCCTGTTGCAAGCAAGGGGCGCGAGGATCTGAAGTTCAGTGCAATCGAGCTTACAAGGTTCGTGCAAGGCTTAGGCCACAACAGCATTTTCCTTTGCTGTGACAATGAGCCCTCCACGTTGGCTCTTCAAAGTCTTGTGGTCAATGTTCGGACCAAGCTCGGGTTCAAAACCATGATCCGTGATGCGCCGGTGCACTCGCATGCATCAAAAGGCTATGTGGAGAAGGCCATAGACTTGGTGAGAGGTCTTTCCAATGTCTTGCTTGATCAGGTGAGAGTCAAGTACAACTTGAGTGCTGAAACCATCAGTGCAGATCACCCTTTGATGGCATGGAGCTATGTTCACGCAAGTTACATCTTGAACAGGTTCGGAGTGAAAGGCGGAGCAACGGCATTCGAGCGTGCCACTGGTTACCGTTTTGCATCCAAGCTCGCCTGCTTCGGAGAACCGGTTTGGGGTTTTAGGCGTGGAAAATCTAAAGGGGATCGAAAATGGCATAGGGCAGTATTCTTGTCGAAAACTACAACAAACAATATGTATATCTTGATGAATGCCCAGGGCGTCTGGCTGACACGATCCATCAGACGCAATGCCAAGCCTTGGTCGGATGAAGTGAACTTGATTTTGGAAGGAAAGGGTTTCCCTTGGAATTACCAGTTGGGAGTTCTTGGAGCGAAAATTTTCCCACAGCCACGGAATCGTGTTCCAAAGCCGGCCGAGGACGCTGATGAGGTGTTTGAACAGCAGCAGAGTGCGCAAGTTGATGTGTCAGGTGCCAGAGGTGATGAGGCGCAGGCAGTTGCATCAGGAATGCCGAGTGTGGCGGGGATGGCGGGGATGCCTCCGCTTAGCAGCCAGCCACCGAACCCTGCACCATCCTCCAGAGCCACATTGCTTCTTGATCGTCACGACAGAGGGAGTGCGAGTGTCCCAGGCAGTGTGCCAGCGAGTGTGAGACCTCCTCCTCCTGCGCATGCTGCGGTGAATGAGTCACCAATGGAAGTCATGGGGACCGACCCACCGACATCCTCTGATTCATCTTCGTCTTCCTCTCCAGAAGCCTTGCCCACTCAGCCTGTGTTTGATGACAGCACCATGCTTGCTGAGGTGGTAGAAAGTGTTCGAGCAGGTGCCAGCACAGGTCGACAGGCTGAGGCAGAGCCAGATGAGTCCCATGCAGCAAAGTTTCAGCGGATCGCCCGAGTAGGCCGTGAGGACTTCCCAATCAATGATGAAGTTTTGGAGTCCGCCGCAGAATGGGAAGATGCAGCACAGTATGTGCAGCTTGGAGAAGATGCCGATGCAGAGCTTGATCCAAGCCTTACCGCTGAAGAGGCAAAGCTTCTTGAAGATGAAGACCTTCTATGGTTCGAGGAGATCCCAAGCCTCAGTGACGAGGAGTTGTCAGCCTTGGATTACGTGGCAGACACTTTTGAGGTGAAGCGACTTCTTGGAAAACAAGTCTTGGAGGAAGTCGGAGACAGCTTTGATCTCAGTGGTTACAAGGAGCTCTCCACGAAGTTCGTGAGAACGTGGAGGCAAAAGAAACGGCATGGGCGCATGATGTTCTTTCGTAGATCACGCTTGGTTGCAAGGGAATACAAGTGGATGGAGCGTGACCGGGAAGGTTTGTATGCCCCGGCGACGTCGTCGCTCACCACGAAACTTCTGCCATGGCTGTTTTGCGAGATGAACAGGCGTCAGGAAGGTGCAGCCACAGACGATGATCCCATAGGCGTCGTGGCTCTTGACATAAAAGATGCTTTTCTTTGTGTCCCACAGGAGCGTCCCATGCTGGCCAAGATTCCGGGTTTTCCTAAAAGGATGCGGTTCCTCAAGATGCTGCCAGGGCAGAGAGACGGAACGGCCAGGTGGCATTCGTTCATCATGGAATACATCCGCGAGAAGCACCAGTTGTCTGTGTGTGCTGAGTGCCCTTCCTTGTACAAGCTGAAGGATGCGAAAGATCGCTCCAATCCGGGTGTGATCCACGTCGACGACCTCTGCCTTGTTGGGTATGTGAGGTGGATCTTGCAGCAACTGGTTCCCAGTCTTGAAAGCACTTTTGAGCTGTCGTATGAGGTTGCATGCAAGCCCGGGGATTCCTTTAAGTTTCTTAAAAGGGAGCACGTTCTTCTTGAAGATGGTATCTTGATCAAGCCATTGTCTGATCATGCAGTGAACATGTGCAATCTTCTTGAAGTGCCACTGCACAAGAAAGTGCCGACACCGTGCACAAAGGACATCTTGGTACCCGACACCAGCAAGTTGCTGGACAGTGCGAAGGCTGCGCGCTTTCGCAGCGCAATCGGGATTGCAATGTATGTGTCCCAGGATCGACCCGACGTTGCCTTCACAGTGAGGATTCTGTCTCAGAAGCTCCGAGAGCCGACAATGCAAACTTGGAGTTCGGGTCAGAGGTTGGCATCGTACTTGGCGTGCACCACAGGTTACGCAAGCAAGGTGCATGCCCGAGGTGACAAGCTTAGCATTCTTGAGCCTTCCGATCCTGGTGGAGCGCGTGATGGAGTGCTACTGGAGGTGTTCTGTGATGCAGACTGGAGCGGCAACAAGCAGAATCGCCGCAGCATGAGCAGCAGCTCGTTCTTTTTGAACAGCTGCTGCGTCTATACTTCGTGTAAGAGCCAACGCTGCGTAAGCCTCAGTTCCACTGAAAGCGAATTTTACGCCTTGGTGTCCGCGGCCTGCGACGGCATCTACTTGAAAAGAGTTCTTGAATACCTGCTTGAACTACCGGTAGATCTTTTGATGAGGACTGATAATGCAAGCTGTCGCCAGATATCTTTGAAGCAGGGCGTATCAAAGATCAGGCATCTTGATGGAAGGTTCCTCTGGGTGCAGGAGAAGACCGCGGATGGTACACTGAAAGTTGGCTCAGTCGACGGGCGATGGAACCCGTCAGATCTTGGAACCAAGGTCCCGGCAACTGGGAGTCGCTTGAGAGCATTGCTTTGCATGCATGACTTCGTTGACTGTGCCGGTGATTGCATCCAAGAGGTAGGCCGTGGCGACTATGATCAGTTGGTCGAGTCGTTGCAACACTGCAAGGACACAGCCCGTGTCCGGCGATTGATCAACAAGTCGCTGAAGACCAATGGTTTGAGCAACAGCAATCTTGTTTTGATGATGGTGAGCTTGATTGCAGGTGCAGATGCAAGTGGCACGAGGCGTGATGTGAGTGTTCAGACAGAGCCAGAGGCAAGATGGTTCAGCGTTTGGGTGACCGGTTTGGTCATCCTCGTGTCTCTGTTGAGTGTCATGCTGAGCCTTGAGCGGCTGCGGGCCGATCGCCGCAGGGACGATGCAAGCGCGTATAGGACCACCAGTGCCGAGCCGAGCACGTCTGTGCCAGAGTATGGGCGTTGGAGTGTGATCACCGCAACCCTTTGCGGTGTGCCTTCGCTTGTGTGCTTGATGCAGCTACGCAAGTTGAGATTCTTGCTTGTGACAGAAAGGCATGAGACCGATCGCTTGCAAGGAGTCATCAATGAAATGGACTATGACCGCATGATGTGGGCAGAGCACCATGCACGTGAGGGTGCATCAGCGTCATCATCAGGTGTACCGTTGCAAGTTGCATCCCACAGTGGACGTGTGGGCGATGTGCCAGTGCATACGCCAGAGTTGCATGTTTATTGCACTGCAAGGCGAGGCAAAGCTTACCATGCGAAGCGCGGATGCACATGCTTGAACAACGCTGATGAGATCCTGCGACTTGGCTTAGCAGAGGCCAAGGAACGTGGCTACCAGCCATGTGGGCGATGCTTCGGAGGCAATCGCAAACAGAAATGAACGAATCAGCACTTTCTTGTGATGCTGGCAACCCGCTTGAGATATGCTCATGATGCAGATGCATTGGTCATCTTTGTACATAGTCAGCGGCGTGAGCCTTCGGGAACACTTCGTTGACGGATGATTGTAGATAGACTACTTGAGCTTGAACGGATGTGGGGGCCAGTGTTCTTGAATGCCGCAGCGATGCATTTGTGCATCACGTGCAACACAGCATTTTGCTGTCAATCTTGATTATTCCGAATCAACTTCGATGGCTGTGGAGCAGCCTGAACCCGCAGGGGAGTGTGAGCTTCCTCACGGTAACTAGGCCGTGACAATCTTCAGAGTGCTATCTTGAAGAGAAAGCACATGTGGGGCGCAGCATGCGCATGAGCCCGCATGAATGGCGTCCTCTTGCGTCTGTCAAGAAACATTTCGTCTCAAGCTGACCCTAGCTTGTGGATGGAGTGGTCGCGTAGTGTACAGTTGAGCCTAGCAAGATGGCAACACGCCATAAAACCTTTAGCTACTTAGGTCCGCTACTGCAAAACGTACTCGTACTGTTGTTGATGCAAATACGAGTGCTCAGGTGCAACACGCATTTGGGCGGGGTGATCAAATTTTGTGTTTGTACTCGTACCCTTTATTTTGATTGAACAGTTTGGTAGCTTTTGGACATGTAGCTTTGAGTGCATGGAATAACCATGTTACGACCGACGTTTACAGGCTCAGAGTTTGCGTGAAAGAGGATTGTTTTCAAAAACAGAGGCAGGCAAGATCAGGTTGGGATGGGCATGATCGTTGTTGGCGTCGCTGTGCAGAGGCGCCTTTAAATTCAAGAAAAGTCCAACAGATGAGAAGCAGCGAGAGCCAAAAGACGCCGACAAGACGGCGGCCAAAAGCATGGTACTGAAAGGAAAGGCGTGAAAATTAGAGCGCAGTCCGGCCTTGGCCTGATGGACATATGCTCCGGACGTGAAAGATTTGGGGGCTGTCGGGTCCACAGATTCTTCTGACGGGGCACCGGCAGTGTCTGCAGGGAGCAAAGCGATCAAGCTCCGAAAATCGTCATGACTAGCAAAACCGGCCTGTAGGCATTGCAATGCTATGGCCTCCGCGGGTGCCAGCACGTCGGCAACCTCAGAAGTGGCAGCAGGTGGAAAATGAAAGCCCACTGAGTGTGGGCCATAGCCAGAAATGGCAGCCGCCTCAACAGGCGGAGCTGAGGTGTCGAAAGCTGTTTGTCACTCGGATTTACCCTTGCCGGATCCCTTCCAAGTGCGAGCACGGCAATTACGGAAGGAGTGGCCCACACGGCGGCAGTAAGCACAAACATGAACACCCCGAGGGCAGCGCGGTGGGTCTCCCTCAGTCTTGGCCTTGCAGCCGGCACAGTTATGGTCCCAGCAGATGGGCTTGCCGTCCTCGGTTTTCTGATGAGCATTCTTAAGTTCGGCCGGCATGGTGCGTGCCTTTGTGGCCTGTGCAGCAGTAGCCTGGGCACCTGTACCCCGCCCTGGTGTCGTATCCTTGGCAGCGGTAGCCGCCCCTTTTGCACGGCGGCGGCGCTTGGCGGCTCGGGACAGTCCTTCACCTGGTTTGGCAGGGGGGCCGTGATCAGGGTCCTGAACCTTAACATCCGGTGCACGGCCCCAGGTAGCCATCAAGTACATAGTGATCCGAGGGTCGGTCCGCAGAGCATCCAAAGCCTTACCCAGAGGGTACTCGCCAGCGGGACTGGGCTTAAGCGATGGCACTTCGGATGCCATAATCAACCAGGCTTCACGATCGGCCTGCACAATGCGGTTCATATCAGGCTTGTGGAACCCTGGAGGGCACTCCTTAGTCAATGCGTGAAGCAAGCACTGAACCCAACGCTCATGCTGGGCCCACGTCAGTACCTTAGCCTGGTCCAAGGCCAGACCGCGGCGCTGAAGGCACCACTGCAACTTGATCGGCGAATCATAAGAAGCAATGTCCTTGGGCTGTTCACTTCCGACCTTCAAGGAGTTGTCCTCAAGTCGAAAGATTTTGCTTTGGTCCTTCGTTGAAAGCTGAATTTCTGATTCGCGGCTAGTGCATTTGCCTGGCGATATCCAAGTGATGCCCACATCATGCATGTGGCAGCAGAGATCCACCAGAGCATGGGAAGGGATCAAATCACGCTCTATATGCACTCCACTAAGCCGACGGCGCTGATCTTCGGCTCTGGCCTGTTTCTCAGCAAGTGGAAGCTTTCGAGGCTGTTCGGCAGAGTCCCCTTGCACAGCTTGACGCAACTGAGCAATGACATATGTGGAGGACTCAAACATCAATCGCTTCAAGATAGACACATCCCCCAAACGGGGAGCAGCCCCCAAGATCTTTACCGCAAATGCATCCATTTCCGCCTGCGTGGGTCGATCCTGAGGCGTGCCACATGAATATGCAAGCGAGGCAAAGGAAGTGATCCCTTGGTCAGACAGTGCGGTGTGAATCGCACCCCCGCCGACATCTTGACATCGCTGCCGAAACGAAGCCTCACTGTCAACCAGCGACATGTCGCCCTCCTAAGGCGGCTCGAGCACCAAGTCAGCTGAGAAGTCAGGGCTGTGTTCCGCTCACGTAACATGACCGGCACACCAGATGACCCCCAACACACAAGCATCTCGCTCGGCCCCGGCAAGGTGAACTAGTGACTGTCCGCCACTGCCTTCTTGCAGTTGCGACACACTGATGAGTCAAACCTGATTCGCTGTGGAAGACTGTACAAGTCGCTAACCATCCGCCCACACATAAGTACGCGGCGGTTGTTGTCAGCAATCATGTGCAGCAAGCGAGTTCTCTGATGCTGTAAAAATGTTGTGCCTTCCGCAGGCTCCGGCGGCGGCATAACCCGGGCCGGTTCGTCATCGCTTCCGGAGCTATCACTTGAATCACTGGATCCACTTGAACTAGAAGAATCAGAATCCTTGCCGACAAGTTTGTCCTCTTCTGCGCCTAAAGACGACACACCGCCGTCGCCCACCTCAGCCTCGGGTGGCTCATCAGCAGAATCCTGCCCCATAAGGTTCGTGTCGTCATCGCCCGGGAAGAAGACGCCTTGTTGGCTCGGTGCTTCCTTGTCAAGCGCGTCCACCAAACCAAACATGTCGTCGTCACCCGTCACCCTCTCCCAGGACTCAGCAGAGGGAGGGTGGCGATCATCCGTCTGGGCAGCAAAACCCAATCGAAGCTCCTCCAAGCCACTCCCACGCAAATAACCCGCACGACCAGCATCTGGATCAAAGACACCCTCGCGGATCTCTGAGATCAAGGCCATGAGCAGGCGGAGGGGCCGGGCCAACTCATCATCGCCATAAGTGTCAGCCATCCCTGCCGAGTTTGCATGTCCACCCAGAACTAACCTGTCCAAGTGTTCAACGCCACGCTTTGTCGCCATGGTAAGGAAAGTCCTTTTCAGCGTGTGGCCAGATGTTCTGAGTGATCCACGGTCGACGAAGATCTTCTGAAGCCATAAAGACATCTCCTCAGTGCTCACGGATGCACCGGTAGGTTCTCCTGCAGGGCCTGGCGTAGGCAAGGGTGGAACGAACTCTGTAAGTCCCACCTCCATTCGAGCCTCATGCCACAAATCGAGCCAGTTTGGCCCAGCAATACCTCGTCCAGGAGCAATCATCCGAAGCGGCGCACCCGCAAAGAATTTAGAGTTGACTGTTTTGTAATCCTCACAAGTAAATTCCAGGAAGAGTCTCTCACCATCGGCCCCGTATTCCAGACCACACGAGATAGAGTGCTGAAAGTCGGACCAACGGGATCGCATGTATGCGCAGCACAAGGCCGCCCCAGCGAAAACTCGATCCCAAGCAGGGACACTCTTGTCCCCCAACATGGTATGGAGCAGCCTCAAGTTCTTCAAGGTCAAAGGGTCTGCCCTCCGGCGCGCCTTACGCCGCGCACCCCTTGATGCTGCACCAAGACACCGCCTGCTGGATATCACGTTCTCAATCTCCTCAACTGAGAAGACATGTCGAACGAAGATCAACGCCTCACGAAGCGCACGCATCTGTGCTGGCTTCGCTCCGCCAGCTCTGGCTGCAACCATGTGCTTGTAAACATTGCCCTCATCATACGGAAAAGTCTCGTCGGACCATCCCTCACTTTTGTGAAAACGAAGCAGAGAGTTGACACGCTTAAGCAGCGTACTCGGAGCTTTTGGATGCAACCAATCCCGAAGAACTTCCGTACGCTCTTCTGCTGTATCACACTCAAGCAGACTCTTGCAGATCAAAAGGTCCGGGCGAAGATCGGCCCACCTCAAGATAACAAAGGTCCATCTAGCCATGGCCTTGTCGTGGTCCTTGTCGCGCTGATCTTGCCAAGAGATGCCGTGGCTTTTACGTACCACCGAAAAACACACTCCAGGAACGAGGCCACTTTCTCTAAGACGCCTCTTCTTTTCCGAAGGTGGGAGAATTTCCTCGGGATCATCTGGTACAGGGAGGTCAGGCAGCATAAAAGTGTCTTCCCAGCCCACCACATCGCTAGGCTCGAAGATGCTCCTGAACACACCATGCTCCCAGGGCAATTCCGCAGGCTGTCTGGCATCGCTAGCACAGGTATCCACAGCCGCACTCAGCAAAGCTTCGAAATCTATCCTTGGACCCTGATCGCTCGAGCACCCGTTACTCGCCCCCTGCATCGTGCTCGAGTCGTGAGCACAGCGAGTCCACTGCACCCGAAGGTCACAGGACACGCAGGCCAGCACTCTCGGCCATGCAAGCGCAAGCACAGGAGCAAGGCAGCGTTAGCAGCGGAAACAAGCCCTCGCTAGCAGCCAAAACTACGTGACAGGCCATTGACGCTCGTCTGCAAAGAAGCAGCACCAAGGTCAGCAGCACAGGCACGACAAGTTGCGGCCACAGCAAGGCAGCTTAATTTTTCCATCAGCAGACACGACCGGCTCGAAAGTGAGGGGATTCAGCCGGACCCATCGTGTGGGCACAGAGTGGGGGCCAAAGCGGCCTCCAAACGATCAAGACGAAAAGCCGTACTCATCGCAGTCTCGGCGGTCACACGTGTGAGCTCATCAAGACGCGAATGCAGAGTCCTGAGGGAGGCCCTGGTATCCAGAACAAACTCAGAAATCGCAGAAAAAGGAGAACTGGACTCCTGGCTAGCCAGCAAGGTATTCATCAAATGAGTGCGTCCCAAGCAAAGGTTGTCAACTCTGTGCCCCAGAGACTCACAGTCACCGCGGAGAGAGCAAATGTGGCGCAGCAACCTCGAGGGGCTGATGTCCCGTGCCCGATCCAATGAATCAACGGAGTGCACGGTCGCATCGTGATGCGAGTCCCTGGACCTCGAGCGCTCACGCGCACGACTTGCCCTGGCAGAAGCAAAAGGTGGGCCAGTCTGTGCACGCTGACGTTCGGCCTCCCGAACGGCAAAGAGGGCCTCCTGGAGATCTTGCAAGAACTGAATCTGGGACCCGGTCAGCGCGTCCATCGATGAGGGAGCCGAACCCGCAGTAAAGAACCTAAAGGCGGAGGGTCCTTGCGAAAACTGAAAGATCAGCGGCACAGACAGCGCGCCATGACATGTGAGTGGCATGCCGGTCAAAGTTGAAGTGCACAGACCAGTGACACATGCGACACATGTTGCCCAACGCGCAGCAAGTTGAGTGTTTTGCCACGGCTGAGCAGGCCACGATCTGAGCTGCAGCATTCTCAAGTCGACGTGTAAAGCCCGTGAGGCCTGACACTATCATTGCCTGGCGACAGGACAGAGCCGAGATTATCGGTCTAGTCCTGCAAAGCAATCTCGAAGCGACCTGACCAGCGCAGTGATACGCAGCTCCAGGCTCGAGACTCGATCGGCAAGCCCGAAAAAGGCCCGAGAGATCCCTGTGATCTCGAGTCGAAGAGTTTCTCTGGGCACAGGATCAGCTGCAGTGAGGCGCTGTTCTAGAGCAGTCACACGCTGCTCCAACTCCCACACATGGTCAGAGAGCAGCAAGAAAGTATCATCAGTGCTAGCTCGCTCTGAAGACCCAGCAGCCGGCTCGTCATCAGGGCGCATTGTGAGGTCTGCCCCACAGTCAGAGGGACTCTCAGGGGCCGACGTGTCCATGTCTACAATATAAACTGACCGGTGCCCTGCAATGTTCAAAAAGCGCTCACAGCCAGATGCAGGCACGGCTGAAACTCAGAGAAGTAAGTGCCGAGGCTGAACACAACTCGCACAGTCGCAGCCCTACGAAGCAGTAGCACAGAAAAAGGCTCCCAGCCGACGCACGTCCCTCCGCAAGGATGCATTTTACTCACAGCTGAGTGATGCACGATCCTGCTGGGCATCGCCAGCTGCTATGTCAGGAGATCGGCAAACCAGGCGCCAATGCTATGCAGACAGCTAGGCCGTGAAGTGAGGCTGACGCTGAGGTGTGGACTCGACCAGCCCTGCTTGGAACCACAGCGAACAGCAGATTATCTGTCAAGCATGGCAAAGGGGCCTGTTATAAGCACGAGCAGCAAAACTAATCGCGGGGCTCACTGTGGCAAGAGCAAGCCTGGCGCAACTCGTCAAAAGCCTCCTCGAGGTCCATGGCACGACCCTCCAGAACGGAGAGACGCTCTGAAGTCTCGGTGCGAAAGGCGTGAAAGCTCTCCTGCAGCATGTGCACCTGAAAGATTATGGCAGCCAAGTCTTCGGCAATCTGGCTGAGCTGAGAGTTCAGCCGCCCTTCAGAAGCGCGAAGATCACGCTGGCCAACGACATCTGCAGGACACGAGGGAACAGGTGGAGTCTCCTCAACGACCACCTCCTCATAAGACGAGGAGTCATCCATGTTTTGAGACACAGCACTCTCAGAGGCATCCATCTGAGCGGACAGCACGAGTGCAACCCACCCGCCCCTAAAAAGAATTTTCTTGCCCACTTGAGCAAGAAACCTTGCATTCGGATCGTCATTCAAATGCCCATGTTTCTCAATGCTCATGCGTGAAAGTAAAAGAGCAAATCGTGAAAAGACGGAAATCTCATGAAAATCACCATGTTCAACCTTGCCGTAACACGACAACGGTTGTTGTGAAAAAGGAAATAAAGTGATAATCACAAGTGATGAAGTCACTTCTATAATATCGAATCCAAGCCTGGCGTCTTAGCATGGAATAGGGAGAACAATCATGCCGTTTGGCAGGGTGAAAGAGGAAGCCCAAACTCTAGAGGAGGTTGGGGTATGTACCTCGTACTCGGTAATGCTGCCGAAAAGAGCATGCATTAACCTATTACGAACCTTAGCCGTAAACCCTCTGGCGCGCACCTTCATTTGGCCATTCGCAGAACGGGTGGTCTCGGTCACGCGCTTAGTGGAAAAAATCGAGGCTTTGGTGTAGTTTCTCTGCTCTAGTACAGCACCTCTAGCGTTCCACTTTAGCGGCAAAACTGTTCGGCTACGCTCGGATTGTGGCCTAGTAGCGAAACACACAAGTTGAACTAAGGATTGTTGTGCGCAGTGACACGCGTCCAAGCTCGTACCCTCTGGTGGGGCATCGAAAGCTGCAGCAGGCTGAACTACGTAAAAGGCTTCTCCGCTATGTACAATGGAACAACAGCAATTGTTCCTTCCACTGGTAAATGCTGACCATTGGTAAATTCGACCACTTGTAAATCGGCTATCAATTCCTCAAGAGAAGGAGGATTCCCGAAGAAGGTGGGAGTATTCCATGATCGCGTCCATTGGTAAATGTGACCATTGGTAAATGAGGGCGCTGTTGGACTAAGGCTAAGGTCCGGCGCGCCAGATTTGCCCTGACAAAAGGAGTTCAAAATCGGCTCAAAGTCGGGACAAAAGGAGTGCAAAATCTGCTCAAAGTAGAGACAAAAGAGTGACAAAATCAGCTCAAAATATAAGCGCAACTGGCACTAAACATCACTAGGCTGACACTGCAGTTAGCTTAGCCCAGGGCACCAACCTTCCTACTCTTGCGCACTTTCTTTCGCCTCTCTCTTTCTCCTAAGACTAGTCACGGAAGTGTCGCTCCACGCGCACCGGCTTTGGGAATGGCAGCCACACCGACTACGCCGAAGCCCTTTTTGGTGCTCAGCGACAGCACCTTGCAACATTTGCTATGGCAGGGGGCCAATGGCCAGTCATACGGTATCATTGACATGGACCAGGGTGCAATGCACGGCTATGTCATCTCCTGCCCGGGTACGACCCTCACAACTGAGTACACGGGTGAGCAGCCACCCAACCCTGCAGTGTTGGAGGTTCTGGCCTGGCAATTCATCCGCGTCCTCGGAGAGACGCGCACCTTCCCAGCAGAGAGCCAAGCACTGATCAACTTCCTCCGCGACCACTACTATGACGAGGTCAGTGTGCGCATGATCCCCATTCGCCAGAGCTTATTGCCCCACAAGCAGAAGTCCTATGATTGGATCGCGGAGCTCAGGGACCAATACGGCCTAGGCCGGTACGAGCTCAGCGATGAAACCATCATGAGCCTCCAAGGCCCCCATCCTCTGGTCGATCAAATCTACAACCAGAACAACTGTCACTTTCGGCCGATAATGGCGGATCGAGTAATCGGCTTGCTGGTGTCCCGCTCAATTTGCACGATGAGACGCTTGATCCACGTTCTGGTTGTCTGTTCATGGAACTGCAAGGGGGACAATGTCCACAAGGAGATGAATGCCACTTTCGACCTTTGTAACGCGGAGACACTGTCGGAAGTCGGAGCGGTGGCCGCTCGCCACACGGGAAAGGCATGGGCCTTTCGGCCATTCCTTGAGCCGAATGCAAGTCGCCGGCCAATGCCCCGCACCTTGTTTCAGACATACATGCATGACGACCACCCCGGTCCCAAGAGCATGTGCCGGGAATTCCTGGCCGATTTCGAGCGCACCTTCTGCAACGATGAGATTTTGCTCGAGACCCTTCAAGTACACGCTGGAGACAGCGGTGAAAACTTGATCAGAAGCCTGAGGCAGCCTGCTCACAAGGCTGATGTCTTCAGATATGTCTACCACTATTATCATGGTGGCCTGTACCTGGACATCAAAATGGCGCTGCGAATGCCCTTCGATGCAATTCTGGGGCTCCTCGCATCAGAATGGGACAATGTCCAAGTTCGCAAGAGCAAAGAGCTGGGGCAATGCCCAAATGGAGTGGAAGGGGTTCTGCCCCGGGAGTACCTGATCATGGGCATTGGGGTCAAAAACGACCACATTTTCCAAGGCATCATCTATGGCCAACCGCGCCATCCATTGATTCTTTGCACTATCAACCACGCTTTCAGCAGGCAGATCCTCACATCGGTCGCCAATCTTGACTACATGATTTTCTGCAAGGAGCTCTGGAAGCTTCTCTCCAATGACATGGGCCATGCCCCAGTGCCGGGATGGAATCAGACGAAACAATTTGGACCGGTGTATCTGCTTCGTGAGCGCCATTCGACCCAGCTCACCAAATCCAAGGAGCTCGAGTCCGATGGTCACTACTTTGGGACCAGCAGGCAGGTTCGCGTTGCCTTTACCCGCTGCTGGAGCTGGCGCAAAGGCTTCAAGGGAGACCCCAGGGCAGCTCAACGAAATGAAAATTCTCTCATGCAGAGCGTACCCCAAATTATGTCGGACGCTGGAGGGCCAGCCTGCAACACCCATTCCAGGAAGCGTTTACGGCCCTTGTTTTGGGCCCTCATATCACCATCCTGCTCGTTTCACGAGGTCCGTTCTGTACACACTCGTGGGCAACGCGAGACGGTGAGACAAGCCAAGAAAACGGCGACCTGCATTCGTAGCGAATGGAACGCCGCACCAAGCCTCTTCGAGGCCTTGAAACACTTGGAAACACACAGGTGTGAAACGGCACTACGCCTGTACTACCAGCCACTGACATTCCTTTGTGAACGCCGCCGGTTGCACAGGCGTACCCCTGCTCAGTCGGAGAAGGAAGAAGGTGCAGGCTTCAAAGCGGAGGCGCCGCTGCGGCCTTGGCCTTCGGAGCTGCTTGACGAACCTGCGCTTCCTTGACACGGAGCAACTCCACCAAGTCTGCCTGGCTCAACTTCGCGGCCGCCTTCTTCAATCTCTTGAAGCGCTTTTGAGTTGTTCGGATTTCTTTGCTTTTTTCAGATTTTTCACGCAGCAAGCGGGCCCGATCGGCCTTGAGAGCAGCGAGTCTGTCCCCAAGCTGGGCGCAGCGTTAGCGTCCATGGCAGCTGCAAAGAGAGGGGAAAGCGCCTACTAAGCAAGGTGAGCCGGAGCCGGAGCCCAAACGCTCGTCCACAAGGCTTTGCACACACGCACACACGTGCACACACCTCCCAGAGCAAGGCAAACGCATTCGAGCTGCGAACCCGGCTGTGCAACGACATGGCGCTCTCGCCAACACCTGCGCAGAGAGCTGCACGCCCACTCATTTGCCTTACTGAAACTGCAAACCATACAGCACAAACCTTTTGCTTCTTCACTCACCACACTAAAAATGCAAAGCATACAGCGCAAAC